ATGGTGGGCTGGGCTAATGTGATAGATATCCCATTTCTGCTGCTCCTGTCAAGTCCATATGCAGCTCCCTGTCATCCAAAACAGTTCTCCTGCTTTCCTAGGATAAGGACCACCACACTTTTCTTCCATTTTCTGCTCTCTGCCTTACAGCTTTGGCGTGTTGAGCTCCAAGAAGCCAGGGGTCAGAGGACCAGCCAGAGGACTGCATTCCCTTCAGGGCAGCCTTCTGAGGACCGCATGTCTGTGGTGGGCGGGGCCAGAGGCAAATGTGGGTGGAGCCATGCATGTAAATTTTACCTTTGCACAGGAGGCCAGTTTGTACACATGCTCACACTTCCGTATCCTCCATGTGGGCAGGCCAGAGGCAACACCAGAGCTCAGAGACACATTCCAGCCAATCAGAAACATTTGTGGGAGCAAAGGAAGGCCAGAGAAGGGCATGGCCTGTGGAGATTTCTGAGGGCCAAGTAGAGGGGCTTGGAGGGCCACGCTTTTCCCCAGACCTGAGATTCCCCACTTCTGTAATACACAAAGGGGGGGGGGGAGGAGCATTTTTCTGCAAGTCAACCCACAGATTATGCACAGGCCCTTGCAGAGCCAGGCAGAGGCCCAGGCCAGGTAGATAATGTGCCCCCCCCTTTTTTTTACCCTGGGGGTAACCGAAGTCTTAGAAATAAGTAAGTATATAAATAATTTTCACAAACGTTATGCTGACAAATAATGTTATTCCAAGGCTTGAACTGTATCTGCATATTTCGCCCCAGCGCATCCCCTGCGATTGTGAATATGCTGGCCGAGGCCCCCTTTGGAATCAGAGGCCCAGGCCAAGTGGCCCATATGCCCCCCCCCCGTCTGGGCCTGATTCTGCACTGGACCCAAACTAACCTCATTAGTCTGCAAGGCTTCCTAAGTCGCCATCTCAAAACTTTTACTCTATTGCCAATGGGCCTTTCCCCATGGCAGGAGGCCTTCCTCACCCTCTTTCCCCCTTCCTCCACCCAGTTTTCTTCATTTAACACTGAAAATTGAAAAGATCTGTGAAACTCTAAAGTGAGTGAGATATGATTGGCAAGAGTGGACTCTGGATGCCAGCTGGGCCAACGAATGAAGTTTCCAAGCTCATTTTCAGAGGCGGTCCCACAGAAGGCATGTTAGCGTCACTGGCAGAGGAATGGGAGTGCAGAGGGAGTGGTCCGCCCCAGCACCACTATTCCAGTAGGGTGCCATCGCGGCAGCCCCCCTAGACATGCACTGCACATCCCGCATCCCCCCGTGCTCCGGGCACCACGCCCCCCACAGGCAGCATGCCACGCCCCCAGAACGTGTGCTACGCCCCCGGGGTGCCAGCCACGCCCTCACCTGCTTTCCGCCCCCAGTAGCGGAGCATGCAGCTTCGCCACTGCTTAGCATGAAGGATGGGGGAGAATTCAGATTCAGATCACATTTAAAGGTGAACCTTCCTCACTCACACTTTCTGAAGCAATACAGTGGTACCTCAGGTTACATACGCTTCAGGTTACATACGCTTCAGGTTCCAGACTCCGCTAACCCAGAAATATTACCTCGGGTTAAGAACTTTGCTTCAGGATGAGAACAGAAATTGTGCTCCGGCGGCGAGGCAGCAGCAGGAGGCCCCATTAGGTAAAATGGTGCTTCAGGTTAAGAACAGTTTCAGGTTAAGAACGGACCTCCGGAACAAACTAAGTACTTAACCTGAAGTACCACTGTACACAGAATGGAACAATATTGTCCTGTGAAATTTGCGCTTCTCTGAATTTTGCAAGGCAGTTCTCCAGCCAAGCAAATATGTGCAAAAATGCATATGTGTAAAATGTGTGCATAAAAGTAAAAAAATTATAGTGATCAAAGTGTGCAAAAATGCATTATCTTAAGGGAAATCACTTTGCAACAGGGTGCATTTGAGGCAAAGCTGCATTAAAATGTGTGCTTTAAGAGAAATTCACACTAAAATGCTGGTGAATTTTCATGAGGACTTAATATATATTTATATTAAGTCAGTTTCCACAAAACTGATGTGGAAATGTGAAGAACTGGAAAACCACTATGGCGTAGTATTTAGAGTGTCGGATTAGGACCTGGCAGACCAGGGTTCAAATCCTCAGTAGGCCGTGAGGCTAACTGAGTGACTTTGGGTCAGTCACTGCCTCTCTCCGCCTCACCTACCTCACAGGGTTGTTGTGTGAATTAATTGAGGAGGGGAGAAAGAACCATGTACAGTGGTACCTCGAGTTAAGAACTTAATTCGTTCCGGAGGTCCGTTCTTAACCTGAAACTGTTCTTAACCTGAGGTACCACTTGAGCTAATGGGGCCTGCTGCTGCCGCCGCGCAATTTCTGTTCTCATCCTGAGGTAAAGTTCTTAACCTCAGGTACTATTTCTGGTTAGCGGAATCTGTAACCTGAAGCGTCTGTAACCTGAAGCGTCTGTAACCCAAGGTACCACTTTACACCAAATTGAGTTTGTTAGAGGAAAAGGTGGGATATGAATGCAATGGATAGATGGATGAATGATTTAAGAATGGAAATATGGGAAACTGATAAAAACCAAAATGGTCAGATCCACCAATCCCAAGTGAACAGTCAACAGTCAACACAGACCAGGGTATGCGTGACGTGTTGTCCATGTCCTAGAGCACGTATGCAAAGTGCTGCCCGAAAAAGATCTTGCCACAACTGCAGATGCAGCACCATCACATTGATTCTGCCTCCCCTTCCCCCCACTTTTCTTTGGCAGCGTTTTATGCCATAGACAAGTTGGGCGCAGAGGTATGGTGGGAGGAACCAGCTGGGGAATCCCCAAGGAAGAAGGCTCAGAGCCCAGGGAGTGGTGGTGGGACAACAATGGGTGGTCAGCGGTAGAAGAGGGAGAAGACTGGGAGGAGGAGGGGGTGTCAGAAGCTGAAAGGGTAACCAGGTTTAGTGAGCAGGAAGAGGCAGTGGCAGAGAGCAGTCCAGAATCAGAGGCAGAAGCTAAAGTTTGTGAGTGGGAGGAAGGTGGCCAAGAGGCAGAGGTGAGTCTGGCTCCTTCCACCCTGGCTCCCAGAACCAGGAGATACATGAAAAGAGCAGAGCAGAGATTGGCTGCATGCAGGCTCAGTCTCTGATTGCTTGGAGAAAGCCCTGGAGAGGAGGAGACGTAGACGGCTGTGGGGAGGTGGGAACCTTTAGTCTCAGCAACTGATTCCATGGAGTAAAACCACCAAGAATGAGATGCCGTGCTCATTAGGCCAGACACCCAGCCAAGTCCGTGGAGATTGTGTTTTCACTAATAAAGAGTTAACGCCAACTTTGCACAGTGTGATTTACAGACCGGCTCGCTCTGTGATACTTCAGGTGCTTCGTAAACAGAGAAGTGAGAGGAGAAGAGGGGGAGACATTAATGAAGATGAAGGAACAGAGCTGTGGCAAAGAGTGCATCTTCCAGCTTCAGAATTAGTTTAGAAAATTGTCCCACTTCAACCCGCATTCTGGAGGGCATGGCGGAGAGTGCGTCCCCAGGGCCATCCCCAAATAATGTGCTCCCTGAAGCAGGGCATCAAACAGGAGGGCTCCCCTGCTAAGAGCCTGAGGGTCCCGATCCTGCCTCTCTCCACCTGGCCCAGGGCGGCACCTGACAGGCTTCATAAGGACTGCTGCTGCAGTTGTTGCTCAGCAAGAACTGGGGTATTCCAGAGGAAGTCTTGTTGGGAGGTTTTGCTGTTAATGATATTACTGATATTAACCTTTTGTATCTTTATTTTTATGTGGCAATTGTTCAGTTTGGTTAAGTAGTTTTTAATGTGCTTTCTTTATTTTTATGACTATTTTGCTATGTTTGTAATTATGTAAATCTTTTCATATTGTAAGCCGCCTTGAGCATTGTTTTAACTGTGGAAAGGTGGCATACAAATAAAATGATGATGATGATGATGATGATGATGATGATGATGATAATAATAATAATTTATTTATACCCCGCCCATCTCTGGGCGGCTTCCAACAGAACACTAAAATACAATAACCTATTAAACGCTTCCCTAAACAGGGTTGCCTTCAGATGTCTTCTAAAAGTTTGGTAGTTATTTTTCTCTTTGACATCTGGTGGGAGGGCATTGCCCTCTGCCTGGTTCCCTGTAACTTGGCTTCTCCTAGCGAGGGAACCACCAGAAGGCCCTCGGCGCTGGACCTCAGTGTCCGGGCAGAACGATGGAGGTGGAGACGCTCCTTCCTGATGTTGATGCCCCCTTTCTCACCTGAAGGCAAGGTGCAGAGTGGCCAAAGCCAGCCAGGTAATTTTGGCATCTGAGGCAGAAAATCCCACAAGTAGGGATGGAGGAGAAATTTGATTCAGTTCGCGTTGAAAGGCATACCTACCGAATTCTCGCTTTCCAAAAGAATAAACCAACCATAAGAGCGATCTTTCGAAATTTGGACTTCTCCAGGTTGTGCTATTCGGTTTTCCAGCCAATTGATGTATACAAAAATTCATAACTTGGGGTAAAGTGTACACATACTTGTGAAAATATAGTGGAAAAATACATTATTGCTTTGCTTAACTGCATACAGAAATGGGGGTATTAGGAGAAATCCACACCAAAATGCTGGTGGGTTTTGGGGAGAACTTTAAAAACATAAAACAAAGAGGCCACAAGCCAATGGAGACATGTGGAAAACTGAATTTAAGATTGGAAAAAAATGAGAAACCAAAACTTCCCAATTCATCCATTCTTTCTCACAAGCACCTCCTTCCCCTCCCTAGCAGAAAAAAATACAACAGTAGCCACTTAACTGACAACTTGCTGCCCTTTCATGACTGCCTGAGGCAGCTGCCTTCCTTTCCCCAATGTTAGAGACGTCCGTGATATCAATAAAGTGGAAAGAAGGCAATGAGGCAGAATCTGCTCACCTCATGGGAACAGATTTGAACCATTGCTCTTTCTGGGTCGTCGGCTTTCAGTCCTACCCATTCCTTCAAGCCTTCCTCTTATCTCTGACTTCTAGGATCCTTGATAAGAAACAGGCAGGTGGGGAGACCATCGAGCTGACTGAAGAGGGCCGGGCTGTTGAGGTGACCGAGAAGCACCCGCCCATCGTCGACTGCACCTGCTTTGGCCTCCCTCGCCGCTACATCATCGCCATCCTCTGCGGCCTGGGCTTCTGCATCAGCTTCGGCATCCGCTGCAACCTGGGCGTGGCCATCGTCAGCATGGTCAACAACAACACCGTCTACGAAGGGGACAAACTCGTTGTGAAGGTGAGACTGTCCTCCCTCTGGAGCAGGGGTGGGCTTTTTTTTTCTGTTGAGGGCCAAGGGACGCGGGTGGTGCTGTGGTCTAAACCACTGAGCCTCTTGGGCTTGCCGATTGGAAGGTCGGCGGTTCAAATCCCCACGACGGGGTGAGCTCCCGTTGCTCTGTCCCAACTTCTGCTAACCTAGCAGTCTGAAAGCACACCAGTGCAATTAGATAAATAGGCACCGCTGCGGCAGGAAGATAAATGGCATTTCCGTGTGCTATGGATTCCGTCACGGTGTCCCGTTGCGCCAGAAGTGGCTTGGGAACCACTTCCATGACCTGGAAAGCTGTCTGTGGACAAACACCGGTTCCCTCGGCCTGTAAGTGAAATGAGTGCCGCATTCCCACAGTCGCTTTTGACTGGACTTAACCGTCCAGGGGTCCTTTACATTTACCTTTAATTCATTGGAGGCCACAGGGCAGTGCTGGGTGGAGCCAGAACCAATTATGGACAGAGCCAGAGACAAAAGTGTTCTGGAATAACTAAACCAGAATGAAGTTTTTCAGTTTTTCACCATGCCTAATCAGATCAGCATCCCCAGTCCTGCATAGGTCTACTCAGAGATAAGCACTTCTGGATTTAATGAGGCACTCCCTTTTTTTACTATTGCTTCACACATTCCAGACCCCTGACTGTTTCCCAGGGTCAATCTTCTATAGCAGATGTGGGGACCTCTTGGCCCTCCAGATGTTGCTGAACTACAACTCCCATCAGCCCCAGCAAGCATGCTCGATGGCTAGGGATGCTGGGAGTTGTAGTTCAGCAGCATCTAGAGGGCCACTGGTTCCTCACACCTGGACTAGGATGACCACCACAGTGGACTAGGATGACCTTCCAACTCTATGATTCTATGGTTGGATACACAACATACACTTAAAGCACAAGCTTCCTCCCAAAGAATTATGGGAAATGTAGTTCACTCCTGACAGAGCTACAATGCAGAGTACCATTAACATAAACTACAGTTCCCAGGATTCTTGGCTGGAGGGGGAGCCATGAGCGTTGAATGGATGGTGCGACTGTGACCGAAGTCCTGCTGCTGGCTGTAATCAGGAAACAAATCTTTCCTCTATTCTTCTCACCACTTTAGAAAGCGGAGTTCAACTGGGATCCTGAGACAGTAGGCATGATTCATGGATCCTTCTTCTGGGGTTACATTGTCACCCAGATCCCAGGAGGGTTCATAGCACAGAAATTTGCTGCTAACAGGTAAGATGCAGGTAGGGTATTTTTTTTTAGTGTGTATGTGTAAATCAAAGAGGGGTAACATGCAGATTTTGGCTCACCCCTGGTGATCTCATTCTTTAGAACAGGAATAGAAAGATACCCTGGTCCATTTGGGTTAGCTCACTATCTGGTGAAAGATGAAGATCATGAAAATTGACTGTACCTTTGTGTAAACCAGATAATCACTACAGCAAAAATTTGGTATTTTGTGTCTTTTTTTAAAGTTTGTGGTTCTTTTCAAGTAAACTTTAGTTGATAATTTAAGAAGTTTAGCGTGCAAGAAATTTGCAAGCATGAGGAACATCACTGATCCCACAATAAACACCTATCTCGAAACACACATGCGTACATAGACCCTCGCTAGAGAAAGCGGAGGTTCCTTATGGTGTTTCCTAGGCCTGTCCTCTCGCTGTGCAGGTCCCTAGTCTCTACAGCACTTTGCGGGAAGAGGCAGGGAGCTGTTCAGAGCAATTGGCTGACCATAAGAATGTGGATGTGGGACATGGGTTCAAATCCTCCTTCAGCCATGAAAGTCGCTGGTGATTACGGCCATTGACTCCCTTCTCACTTTACAGGCTCATGTGGAACAAAAAACCCCTGTAAATATCAAAAGAATAATGATGAGAGGGAAAGCAAACGGGCCGGGCTTTCTTTCTTTTTCTTAACACCTGCCTTTCGGTCCACAGGGTTTTTGGCTTTGCCATTGTGGCGACATCAACCCTGAACATGCTCATTCCATCGGCCGCAAGGGTCCACTTTGGCTGCGTGATCTTTGTGCGGATCCTGCAAGGCCTTGTGGAGGTAAGGCCCGCACCCCTAATCTCTGCGCTTTCGTGCCGCCCCGTAATATCGACCTCTCCACCTTCCTCTCTGAAGCCTCAGCTCCCTTCCCTCAGAGCACCGTCGCTGTCTTTGGGGCGCTTAGCCCCCTTGTAAAGAACGGAGTCAAGGTGGGACAGAGTTATGGGTCGGAAGCAGAGCTTGTTCCTTGGGCCTGCCTCTTCTCTCCCTCTCTCTCCAGTGGAAAGGTAGCTCTGATCTCTATGTAACTCTCTGTGCCCTCCACCTCCAGGGGGTCACCTACCCAGCATGCCACGGTATCTGGAGCAAATGGGCACCCCCCCTGGAACGCAGCCGCCTGGCGACAACAGCCTTCTGTGGTAAGGTAACATGTTCACCGACCATCGAAGTTAAATGGGCGGGGAGGGCCTCCCATGCCAAAAAAAACCATGGTTGCCCCCTTGAACCTGATGTCCTTTGGCTTCTGGCTCATTGAAACTTCTTAAACGGAAGCCTAGAAGACCTGTCCCAAAGTCTAGATCAAAACGCATCACATCCTGGTTTGGTTTTACATGTTGGAACAGCTCTTGGTGAGTGACTCACTTTAGGAAAACTCACTGGACGCGCCCTGTTAAGTTGCTTTCACACAAGGACTGCTTTGATTCTGAGGAATTGAAACAGTGGTTCCATACAGAGTTTAACATAATGCCACGTTGTCTAGCAATTCCTAACTCCACAGCCAGGATCCTTCTTGCTCTCCAGATAGCCTCGGGTTCCTTTCGCTTGTGGGGCTGGCCGAGCTTCCCTCACCGCCAGCCCCGGGGAGCAGTGGGAAGGCACGCAGCCTTTCCGCTGCTCCCCGCAGCTTGTGGGGCTGGCGGTGGGGAAAGCCGAGCTTCCCTCACCACCAGTCCCAGGAAAGCCACTGCCAGCCACAAAGAGCAGGTCGGGGAGCAGCGGAAAGGCTGTGTGCAGTCTTCCCACTGCTCCCACAGCTTGTCGGGGCTGGTGAGGGAAGCCTGGGTCCCCCCCCCCAGCCCCAGGGACCACACATCCGCTCCATAAGACGCACAGACATTTCCCCTTAGATTTTAAGAGGAAAAAAGTGTGTCATATGGAGCGAAAAATACGGTAAATTTCCAGATAGCAAAGGTCCCTCTCGACTTTCGCAGTTTCCCCCCTTGCAAATTCCGTCCCTCTTACTGTTCTTGCTGAACAGGAAACAGCACTGCTGGTGGGTAACTGACGAATTGCCCCCCAAATTGCCCCGTTATTTGACTGTTCCTGTTCTGCAAGGAGAGGGTGTTGAACACTGCTTTCCTCTCGTCCTCCCCCAACCTATTTTTTCTTCCTTTTTCATAGCTATAACAAAGGACGGCAGCTAGTCATGGAACAGCGAGTGTGGGAGCAACCTCAGAGGGGTAGCGAGGGCTGCTGGGAGTCAGGCAGTAAAGGCTGGTGCAGTCAATCAAATGGGGGCACTGCCCCACCATGCTCAGCTTGCCCTCAGCCAGACCCCACGCCTGGCTGCCTTCTTACTTACAGCCAGCTGGTCACCCTGACTTCTGCCCTGCCAGTCCCAGTAGGCGCCAGTCCCCACTGGAGTTAGGAGTCTCGGCTTGTATCCCTGGCTAACCTTTTCCCTCTGCCTTTACAGGCTCTTACGCAGGAGCTGTGGTGGCCATGCCTCTCGCGGGGATCCTAGTGCAGTATTCCGGGTGGAGCTCAGTATTCTACGTCTACGGTAAGCCAGCCAAAAGGCCATGCCAAGAAGTGTGGAAGAAATTCAAAGGCTATTTAGCTAAATATTGTAACATACGATAAGTAGAAGTTACTTGAAAGGACCAAATGGGCCTAGGACTAGAGTGAATTGTAAAATATTATGGATTTGGATAATTATGAAAAGAGAAGAAGATTGTAAACTAAAGGTGTTAATTTGATTAGAAAGAGGGTATTGGAAAGCTGTTAAAAAGTGATTCGATAAAATTCAGTAAGGAGGGGTTTGAGGATGTCAGTTAACAATGAAAACTAAATTAGGCCTTAAAGAATTACGTATTTATATGTTTGCTTTTGTTGCTTTTTGTTTTAGTATTGTAATTTTTTTTCTTTATTTGTGTGTCTTATTTGTTATAAATTCAGAAAATTGATTTTAAAATTTGGGGGGGAAAGAGAGGCCAACTCTTTGGCTACCATGCCTTCTCAGTTGCCTAAACCTCGTTGGATCAGATCGTAGGTCCCTTTCCTCCAACCGCTTCTGCAATTCTGTTCCTTGGCAGGCAGCTTTGGTATCTTCTGGTATATGTTCTGGCTGCTGGTTTCCTATGAGAGTCCTGCCCAGCACCCAACCATCACCGAGGAAGAGAGGAAATACATAGAAGAAAGCATTGGAGAAAGCGCCAGTCTTATGAATCCCCTTCTGGTCAGTGTCGTGCATTGCTCTCTTGCCATTCATATGGCACCATTGTAGCAGGAAACCCCCCCCCCAATCATTCAGTTTGTACAAACTTCACACACACACACACACACACTACATACGCTACACTTCTGTTATAAATTCATAGAAAATCAACCATACATCGGATTTGCACTGTTCCACTTTTATTTTACTCCATGAAGGAAGGAATACAAAATGGGGAAGGTTTGATACAGGGCAGCCATAATCCTTGAGCATACCAGTACATACACAGGAGCCCTGCACAATTGCTATGCCAACCCTGATGGTCCTAGACAGAAGACCATCAAGATCACAAAGAACTTGCGTATGGGAGTGGATTCAGCACGGACTGGAACAAGGGACAATAATCAGCTCTTCCCTCTGGGGGCAGGAAACTGCCAACCCCCCCCTTTGTCCTCTGGAAATTACTCATCGGGAGGGGGAAAGGGGGAACCAGCCAGATGACAGGACACTCAGGTTACCACCACAACCCGTCCCTCAACCCCTCCTTTCTGTGATGTATGTATGATGTTTCTGGGGGTGGTCTTGATCTACAGGGTGGCAATTTCAAAAGTCTTTATAAGACCTTGCACACCATTTTTCTGGGTCCTTCCTCTCTCCTGCAAGTGAGGGGAGCACCCTGTTTTAACAGATCAGTAAAGGCGAAGCCTACAGGCTGCTGTTTTGCTCCAAGTTATCCTGGTTGGTGTCTTTGTTTTTGTCCAAGGGAGCCCTCGGATTTTTCCGTTAACACCAACAAGGTGCACGGAGCCTTAACAGAGTGTGGCGTAGTGGCTAGAGTGCCTGACTACGACACTAGGAAACCAGGCTTTGAATCCCCCCTTGGCTGTGAAGCCTGGTTGCTGCCTCTCGAGTTAACCTACCTCCCAGGGTTCTTGTGAGGATGAAATGGGGAAGGGGGGAGAACCACATACGCTACCTTGAGCTCATAGTATGAAGCGTTGAAAAAGGAAAATAAGAAAGAAGGCAGGAGGTCAAGAAGACAGGTCCCGAGCTAGAGAGTTCCCTGGGAAGAGCGGTTGACTGCTAAACCACTCTGAGAATGGCACCTGTGTGAGGGGAATAGGGGTCTCCTAGAAACACTCGGCACCCTTAACAAACTACAGTTCCCAGGATTCTTTGGGGGAAGCCTAATTGTTCAAAGTGGTAGAATACTGCTTCAAATGCCGAGTGCATATGGGGCCTAGTGGTGGTATCAGGCAGCTCCAAGCATACTGGGCTGCAGGGCAGGTTCATATGAGACATTTGGACAGGTGAGGGTGGTGAAGGTGGAAGAGCAAAGGCCATGGGCAAGGATATGAGAGAGCAGAGAGAAAGAAACTGCGCACACACCATATATTTAAAGCACGACTTCCCCCAAAGAATCCTGGGAACTGTAGTTTAAGGGTGCTGAGAGTTAGAGCTCCGTGAGCGGGAAACTACAGCTCCCAGGATTTGGGGAGCAGGGAAGCATTTACTTTAAATGTATGGTGGTGAGGTGGCAGGCGTTGAAGATCTCTCTGCAGTAGGGGAGCTCTCAGCAGCTTCATGGGGCACCATTTTTGAGGAGGCAAGTGGCCTCTGAAGTCCTGTGACAGCACTGCGGTGGGGATATGCGAGGATGTGAGGCAACTCCATTAATATTTTCATATTTCTCTCTCTCTCTCTCTCCTCCCTACCTCTTGGCAGAAATTCAAAGCGCCCTGGCGCAAGTTCTTCACTTCCATGCCTGTCTACGCCATTATTGTGGCCAACTTTTGCCGGAGCTGGACCTTCTATTTGCTCTTAATTAGCCAGCCGGCCTATTTTGAAGAAGTCTTTGGCTTTGAAATCAGCAAGGTGAGAGAAATTGCCCTTGGTTTGAGGGGTGTGTGTGTGCGCGCTTGCACGTGTCGGGGCAAGTCCATAAGTTTCTCTTTGCTGTTTTTAATACTGAATTCGAAATTGTTCTAACCCGGTCTTGGGGCCTACCGGTGAAGAGTGGCGAATATTGCTGTCATCATTAATTAATTAGCAGAGGGTGTTTCATTCTGTGCTGATAAGAGAAAGAAAATATGCCCCTAGCCACGTGCCAATTGTTCTTCCATCGTATGCTGGGGCAAGGCTGAGCAGGAATGCACTCTGAGTGAAAACAGGTTCAAAAATCTAAAACAAAGACACACAGAGAGAAAAGGAACGAAGATGTTCCATTTTTTTTTATTCTATGGCTCTATGTGCAGTATAAAACTTCAGAAATTAGCAGGATCAAATTTCAGGATTCCAAAACATACATCTACACAGTCGCAGCGCATGGGCAGGGTGTGTGTGTGTGTGGTTGGAGTGGCAATGGCACCCTCCCACTGGCAATGGCACTTGTAAGGAAAGGATTGGGGTACCATGAGGCTTCAGCAAGACCAGGGGCGCTTTGAATTGACATTGGCGGCCCTGCAGGTGCACTTGAGTGGCCACTACCAGCCCAGAGCTCCTCTGACCTCATCACACCTCGCCTTGTCTCCTCCCTCTCTTGGCAAGCTCAGTTCCGACACTCTGCTCCCTCACCTGCCACCGCTGCTCCTGCCACAACTACTACTAGGAAGCAGATGGTGAGGGTGAAGAGGACTACTGGAATAGGGTTTGAAGTCCTTTGACAGAATTATATAATGTTTTCAACATGGGTGTCTGTGGAAGGGCAGTTTCCCCCCACCAGGAACTATAATCCCAAGATTCCGGGCTTTCATTTTTGTTTTTAAAGAGAGCACAGGTTATATCCAATGGGTGGCTGGCAACTAAATTTCACTCAGACTAGACCCATTGGAATTAACAGGCCTGACTTAGCCATGTTCATTCATTCAGTGGGTCTGCTTTGAGTAAAATGTATTTAAAAACCACCCAATGTTATCAGGCTAATTTCTCACCAAAAAAGCGAGAAGAAAGGTACAGTGGTACCTCGGGTTAAGAACTTAATTCGTTCTGGAGGTTCGTTCTTAACCTGAAACTGTTTTTAACTTGAGGTACCACTTTAGCTAATGGGGCCTCCCACTGCCGCCACGCCACCACCACATGATTTCTGTTTTCATCCTGAAGCAAAGTTCTTAACCCGAGGTAATATTTCTGGGTTAGCGGAGTCTGTAACCTGAAGCGTCTGTAACCCGAGATACCACTGTACCTGAACATTTTGTCTTGTACATCAGTTTTACACAACTTAAGAGTTGTCTTCAACTGAGCCCTACATATTAGTCAACCCATTGAAATTCATGGTCATGGCAGTCTCACTTTCAGTGGGTCTACTCTGAGTAAGACTTCAGCTGGATAAAACTCTTAAGTTTGCGGAACCTGCTACATGAGACAAAAAGTATAGGTACTATTCTCATTTTTGTGTGTGAGAAATAAGCCTTATCCAGCCCTTCCAGTGTTCTACTTGGACACACACACACATACACTGCCCTTCTTCCTACTTGAAAAATATTCTGCGGGTGCCCTTGGTCATAAACGTAATGTTCAAACGAAAAAAGACCCCATACGACAGCTGGATTTTCTTAACTGTTTCTAAACATCCTTTTTGTCCCTTCCTGCGCAGGTGGGCATGCTTTCTGCTTTGCCTCACCTGGTCATGACGATCATCGTGCCCATTGGGGGCCAAATCGCCGACTACCTGCGAACGCGGAGGATCATGTCTACCACCAACGTCCGCAAGATGATGAACTGTGGGGGTGAGAGAGAAAGGCATTGTTGGAGAAACGGCTCAGGGAGGAGGGTTAAGGCTTGGTTGATAGATACCCGGACTCCAGTAAGGGGCAGGTGGCTGTGGGAAAGTGGGCAGTGGGCAGTGGGAAAGGTTTCTACAGAAAAGTGCCCAGGCCAGGAGTAGGGGACTTGCTGCCCTCCAGAACCTGCTGCTGGACTCCAACTCCCATCTGCCCCCAACTAGCATGGCAAATATCCAGGGATGATGGAAGTTGGAGCCCAGCAGCATCTAAGCAGTACTGAGAGTGCCACAATATTTGAAGCAAATGCATTAGAGACAGAATCCAGGAACTTGCACAGGTTTCTCAGAATCTCTGTTTTTATTGAGATGTCTTTCTTTCTTTCGCAGGGACGGGCACACCTCAGTTTTTTAGCTCATGAATGCAAAATCCCTTAGAGGTTTCCATGTCCTGCTTAGAATGCTTTTCTGGGGTTTCTAGTAGGCCTGGGTGATGGCGCCAGCAGTATGTCGTGGGTGAAACTGCCGTCGCTCCTGAGTCCCTCGGACACCAGTGCCTGGTGCGCAGAGGAAGGAAAAAGCTACATTGGGAGCGGAGGCAGTTTCACCCCAGCACCTTGCGGGGCTAAGGACAATGCAGCTTGTTCCTCCCTCTGCTTTTCAACATTGCAATGTATCACTCTATCACAATGTTTAGCTGGTGATACATCACAGTGTTGAAAAGCTGATATCTCCCAGCCCTAGTTTCCAGTAAGAGGGCATGAGAAATCACCACGTATTTCTGTCCTGTATCCCTGTCCTGCAGATTGCAGTGGACCCTGCGCTCTTTCTTTTAGCAAGCTCTCCTCTTGCCAGTTCACTTTTCACAGAGTTGCAACCTCCCCTGCCCCTCATTTATTCATGAGTCAGTCTTATACCAAGTCCATATAACCCAGGACCATACTGCTGACAAAGACCTTAATGCTGGCCTTCCCCAATTTGGCACATTCCAGGCGTGGTTGGACTACAACTCCCATCAGCCCATGGTCAAGGATGATGGGAAGTGTAGTCCAGCCCAGGTTGGGGAATCCTGCCTTATGCGAAGAAAGGTCTTTCTCATCACTGCCTTTGATCTTTTCCGCTCAAGGCTGGCTTTTTATTCGTTAGCTCATTTGTTACATTTTCATCCTGCACCACCAGCGCATCTCAGCTCTCAGGACAGTTTAAGACGAAAATAAAATAAAGTTACACAATCAACCATAAGATCAAACAGAGTAAAACATCAGCTACAACACAATAGATTTTTTAAAAAGCAACCACACAGTGGATAAATAAAACACAAGCTTGCAGAGTGGCTTAAAAGGATTTTTAACGCCTGAGAGAATGAATTGGTGTTGAAATGACACATGCATACCATGTGTTGCAGATGTTGGGGGATTGAAGTTAAGAATATCAGACAATCCATTCTGGACCAGGCCAAAGACCCTTCTAGTCCAGCACTCTGTTCTTGCAGCGGCCAGCCAGATACCTGAGGGCAGCCAGCAAGTGGGATCTGGGTGCAACAGCAATTTTTTCCACCTGCGATTGCCAAAAACTGAGGCCTTCTGCATGCAGAGCATATGCTCTATGGCTCATTTGCAGCCCCGCTAAGTTATGACACCCTTCCCCTTCCATTAGCAAAGAAAAATTAGCAGCACACACAGCCACATGTAAGTTTTATGTACACCCTGCTCTAGTTTCTTATGCAGCGCGATCACAGTCAGAAGTTGAAAATAGACACAGCTGTGCGGGAGCTGTGTATCCGCACTCACTTTCTCTCTTCTTCCTTCTTCGTCAGGTTTTGGCATGGAAGCCACACTCCTCTTAGTGGTTGGCTATTCCCACAGCAAAGGCGTAGCAATTTCTTTCCTTGTTCTGGCCGTGGGTTTCAGCGGTTTTGCTATTTCAGGTAAGCTCTTAGCACTGGCGGAGGAAGAGGAGTGCGGGGGGAGCGCACTGCCCCCGGCAGCGTGATCCTGGTGGGGTGCCATCGCGGCTGCCGCCTGCCCGCACTGGGCGCCACGCCGCCACAGGTGTCGTGCCACATCCCCAAGACGCGCACCAGCCCCGCCCCCGCCTGCTCTCCACACCCGCCCCCGGTGCCAGAGCATGAAGCTCTGCCACTGCTCTTAGGGAGCTGGGTTGACCTTCTGAGGAAGGTGAGACCCTCCAGTTGTTGCTGAACTACAACTTCCTATGTCCTCGGCCACTGGTCATGCTTGCTGGGACTGATGGGAAGTGTAGTTCAGCCACAAAAGATTCCCCACACCTGTGTTAGGGCCATAGCTGTCAACGTTTCCCTTTTTTTTAAGGGAAATTCCCTTATTCCGAATAGGATTCCTCACAAGAAAAGGGAAAAGTTGACAGCTATGGTTAGGGCATTGTGGCATTCCAAATTAAAGGTCCTCTGCTTCCCCCCAACAAGTAGGGATCAGAGAGAAATTAAGTTTGTGCTCCTACCTAAGTTGCACTTTCTGAAACAACACACAAACCCAAACAGCCAATGCTCTGAAGTGCGAAATTCTCTGACGTTTGCAATGCACTTCTCTAACCAAGCAATGTGTGTAGAACACATACTGGGGTAAAGTGTGCATCAAAATGCATATATTTGTGAAAATAACATTATATCAGGGGGAATTGGCCTGCAAAAATATGTATACAGTTGTACCTTGGAAGTCGAATGGCTTAATTCCTGAACGTTTTGGCTCCTGAACATTGCAAACCTGGAAGTGACTGTTCCAGTTTGCGAACTATTTTTGGAAGCTGAACATCCAGCAGGAGCTTCCTGCAGCCAATCAGAAGATGCACTTTGGTTTTCAAGCATTTTGGAAGTCAAACAGACTTCCGGAACGGATTCCATTCGACTTCCAAGGTACAACTGTATTAGGAAAAATGCTGATGAACTGTATTAGGTAAAATGCTGATGAACTTTCATGAGGACTGTTTTGTTTTTGTTTTTTAGCAGACTGAAGAACCGAGTCTAAGATTGGTATTTAAAATTGGAAAAATAAACTGAGAGAACCTGAAATTGTAAGGTTCGCCCATCCTTGCCCACAACTCCCACACAGTGGGACGCCTGACATGGAGGCTTTCTGATACCCATATAGTCCAACCCTGTGAAGGGTTCATCCTCATTAGGTGCACCATTTTTTGCATGGCCCTGGAAGTCTAGTCCATGCCCCCTCTCCTTTGACCACATCCCTAACCCCCCTTGCCCTGTGCCCTCTGGGTGCTTTTGCCTGGCCGGCATATGCATTGAGCTGTGATGTCCTCCATGTTTCTGACTGGCCTCAGCCAGAAGTTGGGCAATTTCAAGCTATGGAAGGAACACTCTTCCAGCAGAGATTTGGCAGGCATCCCCACTTTTGATTTTTTTGGAATACTTTTTTTATGTCAACAGGGTTATGGGGGTGTTTACATTTTTGGATGAGTAGCCAGGTGTTTCAATCATTTTGATGATCGTTTTGTACTGCATTTAATGGGTTTTGAAAATCTTTTTTAACCAGAGCAGAGGATTGCTCCGTAAGAGACAATAAGGGTGATACCTCTTTCAGGAGATCATGATTAGGAAAAACACAAAAGGAGGGCGGAAAATCAAGGCAAGGGGCCCACATGCTTATTCCTTTGAACTTTGTTTCTGTTTATGACTGCAGAAGTAAGAGATCTTTCACTCTCTAACTGCAATCTAATACCAAACGACTGTGATCTTGCGTGAACTTACAGGGGCGGGGAATATCTGTTAGTAGTTCTAATGGTAAATTGTAACATTTTAGCACATTTGGATGCTTCCAGACAACCTGATATGTTTACAGAGAGAGTAGATGACATTGGTTATTTAATCAGCATTCATTCTGATTTGTTTGTGGGGAGGTTAGACGATAGACCTCAAAACAAGTGTCATCCCACTTTTTCCAGTGCGTATTTTCTGTCATTTCCTTTATTGCAAAATGTCTGATCATTTTAGGGAAGCAGGTTTGTTCAGGACTTCCCAATCATTGTGCTACCTGGATTGGCCAGTATGTAATTGCATACCACTTAAAAATAGTGATAATCTGGAAGCAGCCTCACAGTTAGAGGCAATCTGTTAGCTCCAAAGTTAGAGGAGAAACTGATGTAAATTCCTTTCTATGACCCGCCTCCTCGCTTCCAGGATTTAACGTGAATCACTTGGACATTGCCCCCCGATATGCCAGCATCCTCATGGGGATCTCCAATGGCGTGGGAACTCTGTCAGGGATGGTGTGTCCACTCATCGTTGGAGCTATGACCAAACACAAGGTAGGAATCAAAGCTCCTGAAAGCAGGGGGGTTGCTTGTCCTGAGAACTACCTGTCCCCATAATTTCTAACCTTCTGATTTGGTTCTCCAAGTGCCGTTTATGTAGCCAGAATGGCAACAGCCACACACGGAGGGGGTCTGAGCATGCTGCCTAACAATATGCTCTCTTCCTGATGGTTGAGAGCAGTTGGGTGGGGAGGCTGAAAAACTGATGGGGGGCAATGGAATGGAGCAGCTAGAAAAGGAGGACAGAGGAAGAAATACGTTGTTGTTGTTGTTTCATTTCACTCACGCGGGAGTTACCGTATTTTTCGCCCTTTAGGACGCACCGTCCCATAAGGCGCACCTATTTTTTGGGGGAGGAAATAAAGGGGGGGGATTATTTTTTCCCCAGGCGCAGGGCTGGGGCGGGGGAAACCCAAGCTTCCCCCGACCCCAGACCCCAGAACAGGCAACTCTCCGCAAGCCGTGGGAGCCCGGCGCTGGGCTCCCGCGCCTTGCGGAGAGCTGCGCGAAGCCTGGGCGTGCTGAGAACAGCACACCCAGGCTTCAGCATATAGGCAACTCTCCGCAAGCTGTGGGAGCCCAGCGCGGGCTCCCACGGCTTGTGGAGAGCTGTGCGAAGCCTGGAGAGCGAGAGCCTGCATTCGCCCCATAGGACGCACACACATTTCCCCTTCATTTTTGGATTGAATTTGCAATGGCTCCTGGGATTGCTTGCTGCTCTTTTTGCCATTTTTGTGCTCTTCTCGGGCCGTTTTTTGCACCACTTCCGGGTTCGAATCGAATTATTTATTTATTTCACAGCGCCACACATGTACATGGTGGCATGCGAGTTGCTCGCACACAAGTGGGGAGTTTCCTGTATTACTAACGCTTCGCCAGCACGTCCCAGGGCAGGGTGCAATGTTAACATTTAGAATTACAAATGCTTAAAATGTTACATGAATACCATGGATATACCGTTGACATGTTAGGTATGTTAACGTTGCTTCTGAACATGAATGTTTCACTTAGCTTTCATGGCTCTTTCTCCTTCTCAGAAGCTTTGTTAGCATTCCCCCCAGTACTATGTTACATTTTTAGACTGTTATTTCCATATGCAGTGATTCTTGACTGGATTTGTCCTTCCTCAGGTTTCTCATTTATTGCGGTCAATGTCCTCTTTGACCTATAGAGCAGCACCATTACCAGTGCAAACCCCTCGGTCCTTCCTGTATATTTTATATCTGGTGATAATTGTATCCCATTGATTATCCCTGCCCTACCAGATTTCTGATATTCCCACAGTATCTGTGTTCTTTTCTAATAGCAGACACTCTAAACTCACACTTTGGTTGTTGTTTTTTAATAAAAAAAAAATGTGTATTGAGAACATTTTTACCCTGCCTTTCTGCCACACGCAATATGAGGCACTTAAGAAAATCAATGGAATATATAAACGGGGGTTGGGCGGGGGAGGGAGAAAGATGAAGCGGGGTGGAAGCACCAGCAGATAACACCAATTAAATTGTAAGAGAGAATAAGCAAAGAGAAAAAAGGCAAAGAGTTCAAAACTCAGAATTTGGGCATCTTCTGGGCCCAGGACCAAAGGAAAAACAACAGTACCAAAAATCACTTTAGCCAGCAAGGTGGGCAACAAAAGGATTGCCTGGTCAAGCAACAATGAAGAGAAGGTCCTATCACTGTGGATCATGGAAATGATCCATAATGAATTGGAAAAAATGGACTCCCCCCCCAAAAAAAATCCCAGAGTCCTTTCTGTTGGAGGATAATTCAGACTGAAATTCCCAGGTGTCAAAAAAGGTTATTTATGTATGCCACTACTGCGGCCCATGTTTTGTTAGCCCAAAAATGGAAAATGAGCGAGGTCCCAACTAAAGAAGAATGGCAACTTAAGCTGACGGGATATACGCAGCTTGCAGACTTAACCTATAGAATAAGAAAACAAAGAGAACATACGTTTAGAGAAGAGAAGATTGGAAAACTGTTTATTGAATATATGGGAATGACCGCTCCCCGCTTAAAACGGGGGGGGGGGTACCCTTTGCGTGGACGCGTGCAGCCCCTAGATCTGGAGCGGCTCCAACAGCATAGGCTTGGCTTTGCCTTCCCTCAGGTGGGATACCTGGAGGTCTCCACCTACCTCAGTCAGTTGTCCAATCCCACCTGGGGGAAGCGTTGCCAAGGAGACCAGGCCAGGTAGGGGAGGGATTACCTGCCCACACAATAGAGGGAGGATCTTACCTGGGAATCCTCACTTGGCTCCAGAGCTTCTCCCACCCTACCCACCCTCAGTTAATGTCTTATTTTGCAGGTTAACTTTTCTTCACAGATTTGCAGGTTAACTTTTCTTCACAGGTATGCGGGCGCTGCTACGTTAAGGTCGCTGTTAAAGGGCCGGAAAGGAATTTCCCTGCATTGGCAGGTTTCGCCTTTCCCGTAGCAAAACGTCACAACTTTGGCGGTATCAGGCCTTGGGCGGAATCCTTTTGTCCATCTTCCTCTTTGTGGCGGCGATACCAGGGTTCCCCGTTAAAGGGGTTTTCTGAAGGGAGGCTTTGACCGTATGCCAAAAGGTCATCATTGCTCTCCCCTGCGGCGGCGGCGTTACGGGGGCGGCTATCTCTGCTTGAACATATGTTCTCCAGAGCCGGCCCATCCCCCCCACACACTGGATAACCCTGATGCTCCCTAGGTCCCCAGCTGGGGACTGGGGAGGGAGAACGCCCAATGCCTGAGCCAAGGTCTACCCACATTTGAAATTTAATAAAGTTGTGGCCAATTTAATCCCATAGCACGTTGTCTTGAGTCGTTATTCCACGTGACAGGGGGACCGCGCGGGATCTAGGGACTCCACCTGTCCACGCAAACAACTATGTACAGCTGAAAACGCCAGCAACACTGATAAATTCAACAGTGTAAATAAGTTTTGATGGGTGTAATAATGGAATACTGAATGGTATAGTCTTTGTAAAATACGCAGGGATTTATGATACGTAATATGAACCATGGAAAGAGAAAAAAGGATATCTTAAGGATGTAAAAATGAGTACTTTAAATTGTAAAACAGAAAATTTAATTATGAGAGAAGGCCCTATCACATGTCTCTGTTAAATGGGCCTAGTCCATTAGGGCAAATGAGGCACTATGGTCAATGGTGCAAAACCGGGACGCATGTTTTCTGAACTGTACTCCTGTGTAAGTCACATGATCCACATGAGAGCACAGCACCTAAAAAGGTGCCTTTTGGGCCACTGCAATCTTGCGAGTTTTGGCGCGCTGTACTCTCACGTCCCACAAAACAAGATGTCCCGGACAGTTGACGAATACTTGCCATGGAGCCTCTGAGTGGCCTACATGGACTCCCTGGGGTCCGAGGACCAACCAATAAGAACCACTGGAATAAATGAAGTACTTTCTTTGGTTATCCACACTGACCTCTTCCCTCTTTCATTCCCCACAGACACGGGAGGAGTGGCAATACGTCTTCCTCATCGCCTCTCTAGTGCATTACGGGGGTGTCATCTTCTATGGGATTTTCGCCTCCGGCGAGAAGCAGCCCTGGGCTGAGCCGGAAGAGATCAACGAGGAGAAGTGCGGCTTCATCAACGAGGACGAACTGGCCGACGAGGAGGACGAAGCGGCCCGCATGGCCGCAGGAGGGGGCGGGGGAGGAGGAGGCGGGGGCTACGGCGCTACCAAGAGCACCAGTTTTGCCAATGGAGGCTGGACGGCTGACTGGGACAAGAAGGAAGAATACGTCCAGGAGCCTGGCAAAGATTCGTATATGTATGGCACGCCAGGAGAGCGGGACTTGTCGTAGAGATGCCCCATCCCTCCTTCCGCGTGGGGTGCTGGGGCCTTGGTTCAGTCCTCTGGAGTGAGGGGGGAAAGGCCTGTGTTTAGGTTGCTTCTCCCCCTCCCCTTTCACTTTACCGTCCTTTCCCACCCACCCCTCAGTTCTGGTACAACCGTCCAGACCCAATGAAAACTGCCTCCCTCTTCAGCCTCATACGCCTTGGTAAAAAAAAACAACCAAGGGCACCCACACACCCCAAACCGCCCTCCTTCCTTTTCCACAGGCCCCCGTGTGTTGTCATGACAGCCGCCATGCCTCACACAGACCCAACGCCACCTACTCTGACCCCCTCCAGTTGTGGTACCTCCCCCTATCCTCAGGATATGGGGGGCAAGGGGTGGGTGGAGTTAAGTTACACCCACACACCCCTTGAGCCCTAATAAAGACCTTTGGACACAGCGCAATAGCACTGATTTATGACCTATGGCCTCTGGGTTACCCAGGTGGAGGGAGCCGTAGGTCTGTGGCAGAAAATGCGCTTTGCATACATCAAGTTCTAGGTTTGATTCCCAGTCTCTTCTAATCAAAGGACGTCAAGGAGCGGCTCTGGGAAAGATGGCTGGCTGAGCCTTGGAAGGCCTCTGCCAGCCAGAGTAGACAGTACTGGCCTAGATGGGCCGATGGTCTGGCTCCATGTGAAGCAGGCACCTCTATTCAGCATCCTCCACTCCCGGGATGGAGCTGTGTTTGGTCGCCTCGCCCCCCACTCTGCCACTCACTGCTTCAGCACCTTAGACCAGCCTGTCGCCAACCTGGTGCCAACCAGGTGTTTTGGACTACATCTCCCATCAGCCTGCAGCCAGCCTGGCCATTGTGGCCAGGGTTGATGGGAGTTGTAGCACACAACGCCTGGAAGCCACTAGGTTGATGAAGCCTGCCTTAGACTATGCCTCAGGCCCCTCTCTCTTTCTTAGGAACAAATCAAATATTTTCCCCTTCCTGTGAATGTATCTGGGGAGCTTTAATTTGTGAGGGGCAGAGCTTCTTATGCCTTCAGCATTCATGCGCCAAAAATGACCCTGCACTGAGGAGGGGGTGGGGAGCAGCTCACCTTGACCCTAAGTCAGACCCCTTGCTCCTACGCTGAGAACCAGTCAAGCCGTGCTTCTTCTGTGGCACAAATCCAGCCTCTCCGTTAAAAATGCCCACAGGCCATCATTTCTAAATACTCCACTTGCTTGTCACTGTAAATGTGTGTTTTCCCCACCTCCCCAAGCCACAAAATGCTTTCAGTGCTACACTGGTTGACGTTTTCTCAATGGACAAGTGAAAATCTGCATAGTGGTTTCGAGTGACACCGCCTCCCCGCCCCCAAATACTTATGGATGGTAGTTTCAAGAGCCCCCCCCTTTACTCGCTCCAAAAATAACTCTAGGCATGTGTTCACACAGTGTTGTTATAGCGCTTTCAGGCTTACAGTGCTTCAAAATTATTTGAAACCTAAATTAAAAAAAAAAACACCTAAAAAAATTATAATCCAAGCTTTGTCACCAAAGACCTCAGTGGGGGGCAAAGAGTGGCGATGCTCCCTTCAAATGTTGTTGGACTCCAACTCCCATCAGCCCCAGCCAGCATGGCCAATGGTCAGGGTTAATGGAAGTTGTAGTCCAGTAACAATGGGAGGGCCACAGGTTTCCCTCCTACTCTAGATTCTTAACTAGAACATGATAAAGGTTCACACTATGCTTAAAACAGTAGATATTAAAAGTGTTTCAAGTGCAGTTTTGAGTGGCTGTGAAACATTATGAAGCTGGCCACATCTACATTACAAATTTAAAGCAGTGTTGTGTTTTATCTCTTTTGGTTTCTATCAAAGGACCCTGGGGGTTGTTGGTGCCCGAGGGTGCTGATCTGATTATTTTACTTAGCTACTTTATAGATCTCTATCCCGCTTTTTAGGATACTCTCCTTACAAAGCTGATTATTATTATGAATTGTCTTTTCACCCCTTTTTTACTCCCAGAAGGTGATTGCATCCTTTTGTCCTCACAACCACCCCGTGAGCTAGGCTAAACTTATAGAGAACGACTAGCTCAAGTTCAGCCGGTAGTTGAATGAAGAATTTGAACCCAGGTCTCCCTGGGCAAATTTCAAAATTCCAGCCATTATACCACACTGAACCATTATCAAATCAGCAATTCCCAGAGGGCACAGGGACTGGTTTAAATGTGTAGTACAGACATACTGTGTAAGCGCAAATTAGTTATCCGTGTTGTAAGCATCACAAGCTATTTACAGTGCAATTGTATGCATGTTTACTCGGAAGCAAGCATCGCTGAGTTCAATGGGACATACTCCCATTGCAGCTGCAAGGTGCTTTAACTGCCTTAGTGTGAACACAATGTAGGGTTTTTGCACCATGACAGGAGCCAGCATTACCCAGTGGACACTAGAATGTTCCGTTAGGATGACCACGCCCAACCTGGTGCCCTGTCAGATGTTTCGGACTACAACTCCCATCAGCCCCAGCGAGCACGGCTCCCTGGTTGGAGCTGATGGGAGTTGTAGTCCGAAATATCTTACAGGGCACCAGGTTGGGGAAATACTGCTTTAGGGTCTGAGATGTTTTGAGAGTTTCATCTTAAAATGGCCCTCAGCAATTCAGACGTGTACAAAAAGGACAGTGGCCTACCTCAGAGGATTGTTGGAAGGATGGGCCAAAGAAGATTGTAAAGCACTCGGTTAGGAAATTATTCCTAACGGTGTCAGCAAATGCTGGGGTTGGGGGAGCTGTTGGTTTCTGGTCACCCCCAAACACACCTGCAGCTTTTGCATTGGAAACTGACTTGCTTGAGTTCATTGGAGTGCAAGTCGTTTGCCATGTTCCAGAGGCACCTCCGATAATCCCACAGCTCCTTGTGGCAGTTGATCCAGTCTCACAAAAGCCGGTTCCCAGAATATCAAGGGGTTGACAGCGTTCAGGCCCCATGTTAGGGAAAGGCTCTCTTCCCCCCCCTACCCCATAAGTTCTCTCCCCCTCAGCCCCCTCTGCCCCAAAGTTCCCTCTGTGGGTTGGTTGGTCTGTCTGGCGTTTGCTCTGTACGTGTAACCTCCCTCCCTGGATAACCCCCAAACAGTTGGAATAAATACCCTGTTCTTGTGTAAATATATAAATATAAATATTATATATGAAACCAAACATGGGTTTGGAAAGGAGCGTGCTTGTGTACGTGGCGCTGGGGGACTGAACTGCCACTGCCTGACTATCCATCATCCATAAATTTCTCCATATATCCATTCTCTATTCTCAATTATGATCAGTTTGGACATCTTTCATATAACGTCAGTCACAGTTTCTGCATGCGCATCATACATTTAAAGAGGTTTGTTAAGGGTGCTGAGAGTCACGAAGAGACCCCTATTCATAGCTGTCAACGTTTCTCTTTTTTTAAGGGAAATTCCCTTATTCCGAATAGGATTCCTCTCAGGAAAAGTTGACAGCTATGCCCCTATTCCCCTCAGAGAGCTACAATTTCTAAAGAGGTTGGACAATCCCTTTCCCAAACTCTGGGAACTGTAGCTCTGTGGGGGGAGTAGGGGCCTTCTAACAATTCTCAGCACCCTTAAACTACAGCTCCCAGAATTCTTTGGGGGATTTAAAGTAGTATCGCAACGCTTTGAAAGTGGATGCGACTTTTGAGGGGAATATGGCATAAGTCAAGCATGAAAGGAGAAGGGGGAAAGAAATGGCAGGAGATGAGTAAAAATTCTTTCAGGGTTGTGTGTATAACAGAGGGGAGAGAATATATATATATTTATATATATATATATCTCCCACCTCCTCCAGTTAGAACCTTTGAGCAAATGGAAAGGTTGAGTCATGATACTTTCTAAGCCAACGTCTGTACGTAGCTTTAAGAAAGTTTACCTATAGAAGTCGCATCTCCTTACCACAAGAAAGTCACCGTGGCTAAGAATGTGGCCTATTCAAAAAATGCATTAGATGTTAATAGAAAACGATTGCCAGTAATTGCCACCTGATTAGGAAAAACTGCCTTCCCTCCACCACCATTTTGTTACTGGCTCTGCCCCAACACTGCTATTTTGTGACTGGTGGCCTCAGTAATTTTCAGCCCTCTCAAGTGGGCCCCGAAGCAGAAAATTTGAGGATCCCTGTTTACAAAATGCTTATTCTACCTTTTGGGCAGCATTTTGACACGGGCAGTGACATAGCAGGAAATGGGGATGGGTAAATCTGTCGGTTTCTCTCAAGTTTCTCATTTTTCCAGTCTCAGGTTCACTTCTCTATGGTTCCCCATACGTTAGACTTTTTTATTTTTAATGTCAGATTTCTGCTGGCACACACATTTTTATATGCACTTTTGCCTAATATACACATTTTTGCAGTGCAATGTTCTCTTGTCTAAAGCCTTCTGCGTGGTATTTTCACATATATATACATTTTTAATGCATCTTTCCCTTAGTATATGTACACATTAGTACACATATGTACACATTTAGTACACATCACTTGGCTTGAGAACTGCTTTGCAAAATTCAGAGAAATGCAAATTTTGTAGGATGGCTGCGTTTCAGTTCGCATATTCTTTTGAAAAGTGCAGATTAGGTAAGTGCCCCTTTAGTTCCAAACTGAATCAAATCCCACCCCCACATCCGTATCAGGGAAGGGATCCTATCATATTATAGCTCAGCATACATACATTCTAGTGTATCCACACACAAGGAGCTCATCCCTAAAGGACAATCCTACTGAATGTACAGAGGCTTTCCCCAGGACTGGAATCCCTGAGCTAGGGGCGCAAAAACAGAGTCTGAACACCATTAATTCCCTCTGTTTCTCAGGGTCAGGCTGAAGATGCCATTGCCATCCATCCACGAGAGGAAGGCTTGTAGGGTGAGGGTGGGGAAACCCCACAAAGACTGCAGAAGTGCTGAGCTTTTTCTAAGGAAGCAGCTTTTAAGCAGGAGAGGGGAGAACTCTTGAAACACCCTAACAAGAGCTGAGCATGCTCTGTGGCTATGGAATTCAGGCTGTTGGGAAGGCAGAGCGGCAATGGAACGGAGTATCCGGGACAGGGGCAGTCCGCTCTGCTGTTTCTTCTTGCTGCCCCCACTTGTAGAAACTACAGGGCACAGCTGTAGACAACACAGAGCTGGGATAGATAGTTGGACCCCAAGCACCCATCAGCCCCAGCCAGCATGGCCAGCGGTCAGGGATGGAGTCCAATAGCATCTGCAGGGATGATAGAGCCAGCTTGGTGTAGTGGTTAAGAGCGGTAGACTCGTAATCTGGTGAACCGGGTTCGATTCCCCGCTCCTCCACATGCAGCTGCTGGGTGACCTTGGGCCAGTCACACTTCTCTGAAGTCTCTCAGCCCCACTCACCTCACAGAGTGTTTGTTGTGGGGGAGGAAGGGAAAGGAGAATGTTAACCGCTTTGAGACTCCTTCGGGTAGTGATAAAGTGGGATATCAAATCCAAACTCTTCTTCTTCTTCAGGGTCACAGGTTCCCATCCTAGTAATCTAGAGAAGCAAGAGATGGGCCAGTATTCAGGCTCCTCAAGGTAAGGTTGCCAGTTCCGGAACCAGCAGGCCCAGCAGCTGTTCCTTTACAAGCCATTTGATATCCAGCTGTGCTTTGCTTTGCTTGCAGATTTATTTATTTTTACATATCAACCACCCCTCTGTTAATGGGGTAGGAGCAAGTCAGGTTACTTCCCGGCCCGCCCTGCCAGTTGGCAACTTTATCTGTAGGCGGGAGGGGACAGCTAGGTTGGCACGTGGCTGGCCAGCTGCAGTCGGATTAAACCAGGAATAGACAGTTGGCTCAGGGATTATTAGGCGGAGGAGAGGGGCAGGGTGGGAGCCGAGGGAGAGGTTCAGGCAGGGCAGATCAGAGATGCAAAAGGAACTGTAGAGGAGATAAACTAGCCGGTGTCGTGTCCTTTCAGCCTAGCTTCAGGTTGGCCGCTGGGAAACTGCATCATTTCAGGGTCACTCAGGTTCCTGCTGTGCTTGCTCAGGTATTCACAGCTGCAAAACCCTGCAGTGTGTACTCCTGGGAGCACAGAGGGGAGAATACACAGAGTTGATTCACCAGGGATCTCTGGGATAGTGGAAGAGAGTCTTGTCCCAGAATGAAACTCATGGAGTAGGCCTTGAGGCTGTGGGGAGGATAAAGGAGTCAATTTCAGGCTCTCTCCGTTTCTTAGTTTAGCAGTCTCCACACTTCAAAATCAGTTCGTGAATTTTTTCAAGCCCTCACGAAAATCCACCACTGTTTTAGCATGCAGTTTTGCAAAGCAGTTTCCCCCTGGAGTAATGTGTTTGATTTTCTCTAACAGGCTTTAGTCTAGACTGTGCAGTTCTGTGCATGTTACTTTAATGGAGAGCTGCCTGGCAAAATTCAGAAAAGTGCAAATTTGGAAAGATGGCTGTTTGCATATTGTTTTCTGAAAGTGCGGATTAAGCTGGTTCGCCTTTAAACGTGGACTGAATCAAATTTATCCTCCAAACCTACTTTACATGAACTGAGTTCTATCTCTCCAAGAATGTCATGAAAAATTATATTCTGTCATCACACTTCTCTATTATTATTACTTCATATTTATGAAGCGCCTTATTCGAACATGCCTAGAGGTGGTGTACAATATAAAGTAGCACACATTGAGTAGAAAACCCACATACAAATTCAGAATCATAGAATCATAGAATCATAGAGTTGGAAGAGACCACAAGGGCCATCGAGTCCAACCCCCTGCCAAGCAGGAAACACCATCAGAGCACTCCTGACATATGGTTGTCAAGCCTCTGCTTAAAGACCTCCAAAGAAGGAGACTCCACCACACTCCTTGGCAGCAAATTCCACTGTCGAACAGCTCTTACTGTCAGGAAGTTCTTCCTAATGTTTAGGTGGAATCTTCTTTCTTGTAGTTTGGATCCATTGCTCCGTGTCCGCTTCTCTGGAGCAGCAGAGAACATCCTTTCTCCCTCCTCTATGTGACATCCTTTTATATATTTGAACATGGCTATCATATCACCCCTTAACCTCCTCTTCTCCAGGCTAAACATGCCCAGCTCCCTTAGCCGTTCCTCATAAGGCATCGTTTCCAGGCCTTTGACCATTTTGGTTGCCCTCCTCTGGACACGTTCGAGTTTGTCACTGTCCTTCTTGAACTGTGGTGCCCAGAACTGGACACAGTACTCCAGGTGAGGTCTGACCAAAGCAGAATACAGTGGCACTATTACTTCCCTTGATCTAGATGCTATACTCCTATTGATGCAGCCCAGAATTGCATTGGCTTTTTTAGCTGCCGCGTCACACTGTTGGCTCATGTCAAGTTTGTGGTCAACCAAGACTCCTAGATCCATTTCACATGTACTGCTCTCAAGCCAGGTGTCACCCATCTTGTATTTGTGCCTCTCATTTTTTTTGCCCAAGTGCAATACTTTACATTTCTCCCTGTTAAAATTCATCTTGTTTGTTTGGGCCCAGTTCTCTAATCTGTCAAGGTCGTTTTGAAGTGTGAACCTGTCCTCTGGGGTGTTAGCCACCCCTCCCAGTTTGGTGTCATCTGCAAATTTGATCAGGATGCCCTTGAGTCCATCATCCAAGTCGTTGATAAAGATGTTGAATAAGACCGGGCCCAAGACAGAACCCTGTGGCACCCCACTAGTCACTCTTCTCCAGGATGAAGAGGAACCATTGATGAGCACCCTTTGGGTTCGGTCAGTCAGCCAGTTACAAATCCATTGAGTGGTAGCATAGTCAATACCGCATTTTACCAGCTTCTTTACAAGAATATCATGGGGCACCTTGTCAAATGCCTTGCTGAAATCAAGGTAGACTACATCCACTGCGTTCCCTTCATCTACCAGGCTTGTAATTCTGTCAAAAAACGAGATCAGGTTAGTCTGACATGACTTATTTTTCAGAAATCCATGCTGACTATTGGTGATCACAGCATTCCTTTCTAGGTGCTCACAGACTGTTTGCTTAATGATCTGCTCCAGAATCTTCCCTGGTATTGATGTCAGACTGACTGGGCGGTAATTATTTGGGTCCTCTCTTTTCCCCTTTTTGAAAATAGGGACAACATTTGCCCTCCTCCAGTCTGCCGGGACTTCGCCTGTTCTCCAGGA